CGATATCACAATGTCAGCTTGTTAGCTGGAGGCAAAACACGACTCTCCACCACAGGGCTGTAGGCTACATAGGAGTCTTAAAATGTTGTCTTGTTGTGTTATTGGGAGCCAGAATAAAAGGAGTCATGGCTCAAAACTTACATTTTATTGTATCAGCCGCCACTGCCCGTCAACAAAAACAAAGACAACTGTGGTTAAATCCGATAAGACAAAAGAACTGGACGATAGTTTGATCAGTCAACTTTTTGAGCTGTGCTCTTCGTTGCAGTTTTCTCCCACATTTGTTGTTTTGTCTTTACTTTTTAGTGTGAGCTTTCCTTTATTATATTCTCCCAGAGGTATAATCTTCTTCTTCTTCTTCTTCTTCTCTTTAGAGATTTTTTTACTATATATGGTAGAACTTTGTGAGCCGGTAATGGGTGAGGCAGGTGTCACAAGCCTAAGTGTAAGCATACAAATAGTATCCATGGAAACTGTACAATTTTATCCCTGTAAAATCTCTTTCGATGCAGTTTCTGTGTTCCTTGTAATCAATCTACCATTTAATTTATTTGACAGTAATTAGTATCTAGTTCCTCAAATGTTGAGGCAGAGGGTACTTGCTGTGGCTCTGGTTGAGGGTGAGAGGCTGTCAGTAAACAGTTTGTTGGGCACAGGGAAACAGAGATCTGTGTGGGTACATGAGACCCTAATAAAGAGGGTGTATCATGGGGAGTACCACCAGTTGGTCCAGGAGCTTCTCCTCCATGATGGCTGTTTTCAGGCATATTTTAGGATGACTCAGGGACAGTTTGACAACCTGTTGTCTATCGTCAGGCTGTATAGCTCTGGGTATCCTGCAACCACTACCACCAGTTTCTCCTCCATTGTTAACCAACTGTAAACTCATTGTGGTGACCACCACAGAAGGCCCGCCACCTCTCAAATTGTTTGGTACAACTGGCAACACATACTTATCTAGTATTTACTAGATACTACAGCGTTGGTTTCTCACTCGATACTTGTCCTAGCACATAGTAGATAGTTCCTAGTATGCACCAGATAGCTTTTAGGGCCTGTCCCAATACCCACACTTCCCCTAGAAATACCCACTTGCACTTAGTTATGCGCGTTCACGTTTAGGCTAGTGGTGTCCCAAAACAGAACTGAGGTAGCGGAAGTGGTTTCCAACACTTAAAATCCGCCCTAGATTCCAAGGGAGCCCCGACCCACACTTTCAACGAAGTGGAAGATGAAATTTCCCAGAACACCTTGCAAAGTCATATAGACGACAATTTGTTACTGTACGATCGTAATGTAGGCTATACAAACAACAAATGGTTGGACTAGCGTAAACTCATCAGCAACTTGGTTGAACAGCGTCAAAATATTTAAACAAATTGACTTACCTGAACAAAATCGATCAGAACTAGAAGACGTTGTAGGCGCCTCCTGTTTTCAGCATTTCTCCTCCGTTGATTCATCAGACGGAGAAGAATAAACATAGCACACGCCACAACACAACCGCTGGAGCCGGCATTTTCATTACGTTGCTATTATGTGTGACGTATGCCTGCACGTTGGCCACGCCGATTTGCATGAAGCGGTGTCTCATTTCTTAGGGAAAGATCTCTACCCTAATATTTCTCACTTCCCTTATCAAGGGTTATCTCGCAAACGAGGGCACTCAATTCCAAGTGGAAGATTTAAGGGGTAGAAATGGGACAGGCCCTTTGTGTGCATGAGTAAACTTCTAGTGTAGACCACATAGTTTACAGTGTGCAGGTGATAGTTTGGAATGTGCACCATGTACTTTTGGTATGCATCACACATGCTCTGCATTATATATTTTCTAACGTGCACCAGAAACCATTGTTTCCAGTGCAGAAATCTGCAGGGTGTATTGTGAGGGTTAAGGTAATGACCATGAACCACAACATCTCCAGTTTGCTTGTCATTTTCTTTCTCTCTCCTGTCGTCTCTACTTTCAGCTATTTATTAAAAGCACAACATGCCCAAAAGCAAAACTATAAAGCACTTCTGGGGGTCCGTACAGAGGAAAAGTTGAAAACATTTTCACTTCACTTAAGCAGATTTAACTTAGAAAGATGTGAAGTATGACATCAGTGCAGCAGGCAGTCAGTGAAACAGATCTTGCAGCATACTGTTCTATGGCCTCTCTGCTTCCTTTCAAAGAGGCTGCCCCTTTTTTTTGTTTCATTGACCAGCAGGTCAGTCTAATTTGTTTGTCCATCAAGCCACTGATTAGCCTGTTGTTCCACCAAAGACACAGCGTGTTGAGGCCTCCTCATTGTGCATGCTGTGTGTATTTCTAAGTACCACACAGCGCCTGCAATGTGGAGGCTGAGACACGCAGAGACGTCTCGCACACACTTGACACACACATGTTTGGCTCTCAAGGACGAGTTACACAAGGAAAATAACAAGCTGTTTTTTTATGTTCATGTGTTCTTAGCACTCATACTGTATGTGTATGAATGGAAGCAAATGAGACAAAGGTATTTGGAATTTAACAGTTACTGAATGCTTGATATAGAAATTTAAACACCACTGAATTCATATCTTTGAAGTACTTTTCTTTGTTCTTAATTTACCTCTTTGGAATTGAAATATAAATCCAAAATGATCCAAATATTCAAATTTCAGATTTGATTTTTTTTTTTTTTTTTAAAAAGAGAAAAAAAGAAAAAAAAAACTACAAATCGATTCAAGTTGCTTAAATTTGATTAGTCAAATTCATGTCTAAAAATTCACGTTGAAATAAAAAATTCAAATAGCATCATCCAGGCTACCCAGGACAGTGTTTGGCAATCGAGTCTGAATGTTTCGACCAATCAAATTTGACTAATGTTCTCTTTGATTTTTTTTTTTCTTGTCAACTAGATTTTTTTTTAGATCTTACTTTAACCAATCAAATTTGAGCAACCTGAATCTTTTCTTTTTTTTTTTTTTAATTAAAGTTAAATTTTTGGATTTGAACATTGAAAACATTGAACACATACTGAAAAAAAATCCAATTTAGCTTTTGAAATTGCAAATCAAGAAATTTCATGTTGTAATTTCAAAGAAATAAATTCAGAACTCATAAATTCAAATATATAGTTTTCAAAGTATATTTCAGGGTTCAATATTCAGTGGCTGTTAGCATTTAAACATTTACGTCTCTTATCTGCTTCCATAGATATTCACACACCAGTGGCACAAGGTAGTTATGATGGGCCATGGTGTACGCTGTTATGACAAGCCCTAGTGCACGCTATGGACCCTTTTACTATTAGTAAACAGTATGACGTTTTTTGGTGGGCGGGGCTTAGCTGGAGGCAAAACAATTCTCCACAGACATTAGCTAGGGCTAGCTAGCATGATCTGTTGGCATGATTTAGACAGTGGAGGAAGATGATGAGAGTGGTACATTCAGAAATACTCATTCATTCAGAGTTTGTCTTTGAACACAGGCATAATTTCAAGGTGACAGTTACACATAAGGGCCCATTCTGCACACAACACATTGTTAGAAGGCCCACTCTCTCTCTCTCTGAGGGCCCCCCACATCTATATTTACACCCCTGGAACACACATTTCCAAGGCTTTTATAACATTTCAGTCCATAATCACACACAGGTACACGCAGGTACACCCTATAAGTTGCCATATTGACTGACCACAGAGCATCAGCTGCTTCACGTGACTTCCCCCATGAGTCAAGTAGCTTTTATTTTGTCTATAGGTCAACTGTGTTCCTCTCCACTCGCAATCCATACACAAGTGGGTGGTCTCAGTGACAGGCCTGTTCCTCTGTGGCAACACGGAAAAGTGAAGCTATCTTTGGTTGTGCTTATTATCTACTGCAGCACTCCTGCACTGCAGAGGCACCATGGAGCTCTAGCAGCATAATGACCCGTGTAGATCCCACTTTAGTGCGACACAGATGACAAGCAATACAAAGCTATGGTTCTGCTTTGGTTAATGAACAAAAAACCACATTATCCAATGTAGCATAAACCAGAATTATGCAACCAATTTCTTGCCTGGTCCCACTGTGTTGTTAATGCTAACAGCCACCAAAATCTTTAAGCCTTTCCTTGATGTCCTATTTAAGAGATTGCCAAACATCTTGCACAATGTTTCCTCTCCCAATTGACTCAAATGCTAATGTAGCAGAGTAGCTGAGTGTTTCACCTCGCCGGCTGCCATACAATCACCTTCCCACATTTTTCTAATTTTACTTCTGCTTCCATGTCTGTCATTCTTAGTTCCACTTGCTCAGTCCTCAGCCCTGCCCGTTCAATCAGGTGCATGCTAATTAGCTTACTGTGGGACCAGCCAATCCCACGGGGAGTGCCACTAGATAATTAGTTCGTGGCTAATAGGCGTAGCAGTGGCACAGGGGAGGCAGAATGGGGACCTGCAGTCAGTTCCAGACAGTTGTTTGTCTCTGGTGGGTCTTGCTGCGATGTTGTCACAGTATGCGAGAGGATACATTAAAGATTGGAGGGACGGAGGAAATAGAGAGCAGAGTAGAAGAGGATAAGAGTTGGAGGAATGGGAAGATTGGAGGGCCAAATATGTAATTTAATGTATAGTGGTCAGGAGCAACATCATGCAATAGTTACCTAGGAGGGGCCAAAGACATGCTACCTCCATATACGACAGCTATATGCATTAATTTTCAAGCCATTTGAGATAATAGACTGCCTAAAAATCTGACCAATCCTGTCATATATACATCCTATTTTGTATCTTATTGCTTTTCAACTGTCTCCACCATTCTGAAACTACAACGTAACACATGTTAAGGATGACTAATTCATCTCAGAATGGCGCATTGCAAGTAGTTTCCTGCTTCAACTCGTCCTGTCACGAATCCTTGGTCTGAACTGAGCTCTTCACTACATGCCACATTCACGCATTCACACGCTGGTGGCCGAGGCTGCCATACATGGAGCCACCTGCTAGTCAGTAACCATTCACACGCTCTCACACACAGATGGAGGAGCCATCGGGAGCAATCTGGGGTTCAGCATCTTGCCCGAGGATACTTCAACATGCGGACCGGAGGAGCCGGGGGCTGAGCAGCCGATCATCTGATTAGCGGACGACCCACTCTACCTCTGAGCCACAGCCGCCCACTGCCAAGTAAATATGGTCTTTTTTCAATTCTACTCAATTATATTGGACTTCTGTAGGGAATAGCATAATAGGATAACCAACATCAGCATATATTTTTATCTGAATTACCTAAACATAAAAGACTCAGGGCTTCTGCGAAAACATTTGGGGCTGGAGCCCTTAAAGCCTTGAAGTATGACACTACTGGGAGTTCGGCAAGGGACAGGTGCTTCTATTATACACCTCTCTGTATCCTGTTATGCAGTTCACCAGCAGCAGAATGTACATTACATCCTCCTGAATGACCATAAAAATAATTCAACACCTCCCTAAAACAATTACAACACAAACTGAACATTACAACCTTCATGAAGGGAGGATTTATTGCAGGACTGTTGAGTTAGACTGCATCAGTTTCTGCTACGTGTATGTAATAAACGGGCAATTTAGTGTAGGCGAAGAGTTTCCTGCCAGGGTACAATAAATAATCTATCTTGTAATGTTCTTTAGAGCAAGGTTAGGATATATTTTTTAAACTGAACACCAAATGGTTTCATGCTTCAGTGGGGTTGTCCGGCAGAAACAGTGTGACATCCCTAAAAGCATAACCTGCTGGGAGTTGCTGGCTATAACCCTCAGAGAAAGAGGAACCCGACACACTGGATGCATGTGGTATGTTGGATATATTTGGATGTGCACAGTGGTTTCCAGACTTCCCGACAGTAAAAGCCTTCTTTTCCGAGACATTCTTTGCTTAGTGGAGGGACTGACGTGGTCCAAACTACTGGGTTCATTTCCCTGATGAATCAGTCAGGATACAAACATTTGTTCGGACAATTGCAAAAGGAATGTGGGAGGGAAAATGTATAGCCACTGATGAGAAGAGGACTGTTAAAAACCCAGGAGTAGTTGCTCCTGTATGTAGGATGGTCAAGTAGGAAGCAGCTGTCATTGAAGCAGCACATTTAGAGAGGGAGAGGAATAGGTAACGAGGCAGCCAGGCTGATTTTGTATCTCTCAAAAGCATGAGGCAATGTATTCTGTGTGAGGACCGATATACTGACGGACGACAGAGAGAACGGTGTGCTGCCTGTCTGTTTTACAGATGGGCGGTCTCAATTTTTTACATGCACCAGAAGTTGAAAGCCTTTGAAGAATCTTTTTGCGATGAATTAATCATAAATATCCCCTGAATGTTCTTTGGAGAGAGTAAAGGTTGAGCAATGATACCGTAGGAGCAGATTTAATTTACCTGAAATTCAAGTGGCACATGGTTTGGAAAGTAATGATACGAGCCTCATCCATTACATGTGGTTTTGCCTGGCACCTCTCAAATGCATTTTCATGTAACCTGTTTAAGTACAGAGAGGGAGGAAGCAAGCGAGAGAGGAGAAAACCTATTGGGGACTCACTTAGTCATTTTAGCTCGGGACAAGTCCAAACTTGGCCTTCTGTGAGGAGGGCGCGCACACAGACACATCTCTCGCCCACATTTCAGGCATTCACATCCAAACATCAAACAAATAGATACATGAAAACACACATGCAAATATGCACTTCTGCCAACAGACACACAATCACTCACACACAAACACACACCCAAATTATTCATTTATTCAGAGGAGGTTGACTCAGGTTGCGGAAATACTCTTGCACCGGTCCGGCCCACGCTCCATTTAACACATCTGAGTGAGTTATTGGGTGTGTAAATGGACAGCACAGTCACCTTTTAAACAGACTGTGGACAGTGTTTCACAGAGGAGGATGCACTGCATTACACATCGGTCCAACAGCTATTAGACTTCATTAGAACCACGTCCCAAGCAAGTCACACATCATGTCAGCTCTTGTTCCTCAACTGCGTATTTCAAATTATGACTGTTATTTAAAGGTCAGTACATTTTAACTGAAGTGCTTGTCGGATGGTCAAACAGAGCCTGAACCCCCTCCACAACCCCTCCACATCTCTCGGACGTTGTAATTGGGGAGGCTGTGTCCAACAATTTATATTACTTTCCAAAAGGCAACAATCTGACAAGCATGTTTTTCCCCGATTTCTGTTCCCATTTAACCTCTTGCACCCCCATTTTGTAGCAAAAACGCCTAAAATGACACACCCAAATTAAAATGACTGTAGCGTCTGAACTGCTGACTACATGCATGCACGAGGTCTTGCCAGAAAGAAAACTGAAGTTTCCTGTGAAAGTGTCAGAAACACTCTAGGTGGTTACAGATACAAAGTAATGGGCCTCTGAAGTCAGTAAAAAATTGAAGATTTTGCCTAAAATAAAATAAAAAATGTGTTTCAGGATGAATAACTGTCTGTGCCTTCATATGAGCAGGTAAATGACACTATTGGGCTGTAGGCACACTATCAATGAACATTTGTTTCAAATTTGAAGAAGATTGCTCAAAGTATGACCATTCTACAGTGTTTTTTCCATGAAAAGATCCAGGCGGAGCTCCAAATGACAGGAGCGCTCACTCGGCTTCAAAACAGTACTATCAGTGATCAAACAACACTCAGCCAGCTTCAAACATTGTACCTTATTAAAATCAGGTGTGATTATGACAGCTGATGTTGTTTTTGACACAGAAACACTATAAAATATCACCAAATAAAGCCATATAAAACATAAAAGTTATGATCCCACTTTCTAGACGGTATATCTCAGCCAAAAAAAGTGGTAGGCGTGAGATTCTTACCTTTTATAAAAGATCTAAGTCCCCACTGATGGCTCCGCATAATATCGCGAGTAATCCTTTAACTTTTTCCATCGAAAAATGGCATGACATGACTTGTCACCATTTTGGACTTTGTGTGTTTAGGCTGCTCTGGTGCAAAATACATAATAAATAAAAGAAAAATTATGTTATTTTTGAAAAGTTGAGAGCTTCCTGAATCCGGCAATACCAAACATCACATGGTTTGATGACGTAGTGTGCCTGTGAGATACCATTTAACAGAGGAGGGAGGGAGCGAGGACGTCAGCGTCCTAGCGGAGTTAGAGAGGTTTTAAAATGTTTCTTGTTTCTGGCATGGCAGGCTGCTTTAAATACTACAATTCCCATGAGCCTTGGCTGCTGTAACTATGGAGAAGAAGCCAGTAGCAGGCATAAATCAAGTGATAGTGGATTCAAACAGGCTGTTCTCGTAATGGTTCGTATACCTATGAAAAGTAATGCACCACAATTCGTATATAACCCACATAATCATGCGCCAGTTATTCGTATATAACTCATGTAATCGGGAAGGGTGATCACATGACCCAGGCACTGATGGGGTTAAAGAAGGATGTAGTATAATGACCGAAAGTCTACATAAGGATCCAGATTGGGGTGGTGGCTAGGTAAAACAAACACAGGACTTTCCCCCAGGGGACCGATGTTCATGTCCTGCGTGAAACCAAGTGAGCATGAGTTGTTTTAAGGTACCAGGGGTCTCATTTATAAACACTGCATACGCACAAAACAAGGCCTGAAAGAGGCGTATGGCACTTGCCACGCAAAAGTTGTGATCTATAAAAACAGACTTGATGGGAAAAGCTTTGAGCCATGCTGATGAACATTTTGGAGACAGGAAATTGGAGACGCAGATGGTGAGGTGGAAGGATGATTGTAGAAATAGTTTTATTATTATTTTTTGGCTTTTGACAATATTTGGCTTTTGTTCTTAGATACATTTTAGTATGGATCCTATGCATTTTTATATAAATGAGACCCCAGGTCACCATGTTTCTTTTTCTGAACCTAATCTGCGCAACTTTAAAGTTATGTACATAACTTTACGTTACGTAGATAAGACATGATGCTATTCATTGGGTGCTAGTACGTTAAAAATCATATAAACCATCGTATGTGCATGTTCCTAATTTATCCTACGAACCATTGTATGAGCATACGTAGATTTAGAACGTTCACCAAAGTGAATTCCTTTGAGCTGCAGATAATGTTACAAGCTTTCTCAACAACATAATCTATATCCTTCTCCTGCCCTTAGCGGTGTGTGTACAGTAACAGAATTTAAAGCTTGTCCATTGATTATGTGTTGCCAAAATACACTTAGGGAGTTGTAATTACCATCTCCGTCTAGATGTTTATGTGCTCAGACATGTACCTTCAACTTTTTTATCAAAAACAGGACTTTTTCTAATGCTGTTGTATTTGTATTGATGATTCAATTTAAATGCCACAGAAAAGACTCATCTAGAAGTCACGTAAAATTGTCTATGGAAAACATGAATGGTAATTTTAGCTCCTGAACCCGGGCAAACCCAAAGTTGCTCTCGAGCTCTTTTCTTTTCATTTCCTTTACTTTTTGTATGTACCATTGTGTGCAATGCCTTCGAGGAAAGACTGTATAAAAGTGTCCCCATTGTCCCCATTTGTATCCTCATCATGTCTCACCCCTCTCTTTTCACCCTGCCTTAGAGTATGACCATTCAGAACAGTTAACACTTAACAATGCCCAACGGCACATCAGCCTGGTGATTGCTTAGGGAGATGAGGGTGTTTGAAATCCCTAGCAACCGTATGCTCCTTCTGTCTAACCTCTATACACTGTTGGAAAGTTGGGTATTTCTCATTGACTTCCAATCAGTCTTTGTGTAGCCAGAATTTTGGCCACAAAGGAAGGTGTGTCTTGCAGTCTATCTCCACGTCGGTTTTAATCATTCATCCATTTCATACTGTAAGTAAATCACTGTATATCATCACATTTCACATTGCATATTCATGATTTGAAATCTAACAAAAACGGCACAGCTGTCAGTATGTCAGAGAACTAGCAAGCTGTCTGATTTCCATTTCTCTGATGCTCCGTTGTCAATGATACCAAATGCAGAAAAGTAGATATTTTCCAGACTTAGAATTACTACTTTATATGTCGGTTGGCTGATTTTGTTCAACCTTACAACAGAGCCTGTGAGTTTACACTGCAGACGGCCCAGTGGGAAATTAAGCCCCAACCCTGGCTGTGTTCATGTTTTGACCTACTGTCCAAGGCTGCGCAGCACCAAAAGACAGAA